AATTGATGACAACTGTTCCTGAATGGACAAAATGAACAGAATTAATTTTAAATTATTGATTTAGTTCATGTAGAAAGTATAGCATTAGCCTATTTTTTGTTAATTTGTAAAGCTAAATCAGATGAGAGAGACAGAGAGAGAGAGAGGGAAAAAATTGGAAGAATGAAATCTTATTTGATTATTTAATATATTTTAATTAATGATTTATTTTAAATTAATTCTAAATTTTCACAAATTTAATTCAAAAAATATAAAATGTAAAGCTTAAATTTATTAATTAAATTTATTATCATTTTAAAGATTAAAATTTAATTAATTTTATTATGACATTATTAGTTAAAAAGCAAAAAAACATATCCTTATACAAACAACTTAATTTATATTTATCCTTATATTATATTTTATATTTCATTTAATTAAAATATATTGTTAATTTATGTAATAAACTTTGTTAAATATTAAATTAGTTCTTTATAACAAGCTAATAATAGCTTAAGATGTTAAGATAGATACTTATAATAATTTTATAAAGTTATTCTAAGTAAATTATATTATATGAAGTTATAAATATTTATTAATTAATTCATTACTTAAACAGTGTATAATTTTAATAAAATTATGTTTAGCTATAGCAGTAATAATGAATGGATCCAAAATAAAGCAAGTGAAATATTAGTTTATAGATGAATTTTTCTTAATTTTTGAATAAATATAAAGTAATTTATAGCAATATTTTCAAATGATTCTTTCATAAATAGTTTTGTATTGCTTGTTTTGACTTTATTATAGTTAATAACAGATTTTTATCATATTTTAATTAAAATATACTGTTACTTTATGCATTAAAATTAAATATTAAAGTAAATTTAGTCTTTCATTCTTAATTTATTATTCTGTAATATAAACTTAGAATAAAGATATAAAAGTGTAATAATTCTTAATAAAGATATAAATTTTATACTATTTTTGTTTAAATAAACATTTATCATTAAAATATTTATTAAAGAAAACAGTATAAATGATCTCAATTAAACAAAATATCATATTATATATAAAGTAATTAAATTATAACAACTTAAGTTATAAATCAATTATATTATATTAAACATTATATAGAAAATTAAGTAAATAAAAAAAATATAATTCTTTTATATTAAGGGTCTATTTAATTTATTTTTAAAACCTTTTATCATAAATAAATATGTATCATCTTTAAATCAATGCAATCTTTTTAAAATTCATATAAAATAATTAAAAATTTTCATAATACTTTCTTTTATAAATTCTTAATTCTGTTGAAACTCTTTAAATATTACATTTCAATGCATTATAAAATTTTAATAATTTATAAATTTTTCTGTTCTTTTTATAAACAAAGTAAAAGAAATAGCAATCAACAAAACCAAATCTTGTAAATTCTATTTGTCTTAAGCAGTTGATGGTTATTTTAGTTTTATTATGTAAAAAATTTATAAATTGTTAAATGAATTAAATGGCATTTTCCCCTTCTTAATTTTAAATTCATGAAAAATAGTAAATGGATTCTATTCTCATCTGATTATTTTTCATTATTATTATTTATATGAAAATAGGAAAGATGTAAAATATTTGTTCATATTTGAGTTGTTAATAACCATTAATGATTTCTTTTTTTTTAAAAAAAAACTTTAAAATTTTCTGTAATAAAAATCAAAGGATATCAAAAGGTATGCAGTTAATGTCAAATGCTATAAAAATCAAAGGCTGTAAGATTTTTATAAGTTTTTAAACATAAAAATTAACTACTAAATAATAAAATTTTGCAGTTTATTATATGATTTAGTTTGAGTAATAATGTAGAATTTATGTTTGTTTACCTTTTTCAATAGTTAATTACTTGTAATTTTTTTCTACTTTAAAATGTCTTTTAGCTTAAATCCAAGGCTTGCTTAGCAAAAGTATTTTCATATAATTTTTGACATAAACTTTTACAGTTTGTGATTTTTATTTGAGAATTAATTTCAAAATTGCTTAAATGCAAAGTAAAATAATTATACTATAGAATGTCTTTTTTTAGTATTTTAAACATCTTTTTGGATACATAACTCGACTGTATTTTAAAAATTTCAATATGCAGTAACGCTGAAAGCTATAAAAAAACAGAGGAATTTAAATATTCTCATATATAAGTATCACACTATACGTAAACTTTGAAGTTTTTATAATTATTACAATGAAATAAATATGACATCATAGCAAGGGTGGATAAGTTTACTTGGAGAATAATCATGAAATCGTGCATCTCATGTTAATGAAATTCAACATTTTCTCATCCAGCTGATGTCTCGGTTCTAGTCACGTGTTTGTGTTGTCATGGTAACTCCACCCTATCACTTTCACTTTCTTCATTTATCTAGCCGGTTACTGAACCATTGCTTGTTTGGCCGGTTCAGATTAGATTATGTCCTTCTTATTTCCTGTCCTTGAATACGAAATATTCTCACCTTCATGTAGGATAATTATCATTCTATTTTGTAGGTTTATGGTAAGTTCTATAATATTATCTCGAGTTTTATTTATAGCAAAGGATTATTGACAAATACAAAAAGTTTTCTAGTTCCTAGACAACTTATTTATTATATTCGTTTTCACATGCTCCAGATGTTTAACCTTCTCCATTGTACTCGATATATGCGTTTGTATATTTACTAGTCAAATATATTTGTTGGATATTTTTAATTGAAGTTTTGTTTGTATATACAAATATACATATATATCTCTTTATTTTCAAAGTTTTATCTAAAATAATTCATTTAAATAGCATTATTTTAGAATTTTTTTTGGATAAAATATAATAAGGATTATTGATTTTCTTTAAATTTAAGTTTATGTATAATTTTTTAAGAAATTATTTTGCATCATTAAACACTGATCAAACACATTTCTTTCCTATGTTTATGCTTATGTTTATAATATTATTTTATTCTTTATTAAATTATTCTATTGATAAACTTTATCTTATCATGGTAAAATAACTTATATGAATGCTGGATATATTTAGATAATTATAATACTCATGTAAACAGATGCATTATCCTCCTGTTCATACATCATGAAGAGGAGGATAATGCATCTGGCACATAATTTGCCATTCTGGATCATCAAGCTTCTCTTCATGTAAATAATATCTGTAAATAATGTATATTATCGTATAAAGTATTCGTAACTATGTTTCCAAATTAATCTAAATTCGCATATTTCTTGTCTTACATAATATCTNTTGCTTATCACTTCAGCTTTCCTTTCCCTTCAGACATCTGTTTGTTCTTTCACAAAACAATGCTCTTTTAGTGATTAATGTGGAATGTTTTTCTTCTTACGAAAATAATTTTATGAGTTGAACAAAAGCGAAAAAAAAAGAAATATTAAAAAATATTATCTTGTCAGAATTACAAAACCTTCTTACAAATGCATAGAAAAATGGAATAATTTAATATTATACAATATAAATTGTTAAAAGAAGACTCTATATATTATAGTTAAGTTAATTAAATCTCATTTTTATCCATTACATTAATTATATTAGCTATAATTTTCCATTCCTTTTTAAAGATCTGATTCTATAATAGAAAAAAAAATGTCTTGAAATGACTTTATTAATCTTCTCTCTCTCTCCTCATTGTTAACAAACTAACTACTTTTCAATTTATTTTATTTTTATTTATATAATTTTATTTAATTTATTAAAAATAATTTAACAGTAGCCTATATAAGTATGTACTCATATACAGTCAGATTTTCCATTTGTTAGCATAAGAAATTGACACTAAATCGAGTATGGCGCTAAACTGAAATAACTAGAACAATAAGGATTATATATAGTAATGAGGTCTACACAAGTGCGAGTTGAAAATCACGTGATTTGGTGACAATGCAATATCCTAGATTTAGTAATTCACAGATATTGAAGAGGATTCTCGAATATTTTTGAGAAAGATTCATGTATTGTTATTATACAGCGGTTTAATTATATAAATACAATGTATAGAGGAAATAAAAATAAAATCTTTCTTAATTTTTATTTAAAAAAAAATCATAAATATGGCCTGTAATTATATAATTGAGTGGCCTCTTGAAATATCCAGTTTCAATTACACAATTATAAAAAAAAATAAAAAATAAGCTTTAAATATTTTATATTTTAATTTTTTTCCCTTCTCTAACAAAATTGATAGATTACAATCTAACGCTAGATCTATTTGGGTGATTTACAACTTGATAAAAATAAAAATAATTCCGAGAAGGGACTCAAAGTCGCGAGAATACTTCAAATTGCACAACAGATATTTAAGGTGTATCCCAAGGGGCATCTCCTGTTTTCTTTTCCTTTTTTTCCCCTTATTTTATTTTATTTTTTTTTATAAAAAATTTAAGATTGAACTAAAGGAATAGATTGTGTAGAAGATATTTGTCTTGCTAAGAATGGTTTATTATCTTAGGAAGTGAAAAATGATCTTGTTTAGTTGCGTGTGTAGAGGTCTAGCTTTGGGTTTTGTATGTATATATGTGAACGATAGTCGACGAATACGTAGCGATGCAGTGAAGCAAAACGTTTTCAATCCTGTCAGCAATACTGATAACCGTTTCTGGAAATGGTTTTTCAATTTTCCTAAACTATTCTAAAGGACTGTTTGCATATATTCCATCCTATCAGATTTTATTTTTTTATTTTTTTGCATGAGTAACAATAGACTTCAATTGAGATGAATAAAATAGAAAGTACCATTTAGTATATCGACTATGGCTAAGAAAATGAGCTCAGAAAATATTTTAAATGAAAAATTCCTATTCATAATGTAATCTAATGACCCCACTTTAGCAATAGAATCAATCAATGAGCTTTTATTACATTACTTATTCTACGAAATGTATGGTTTAAGATTAAAATCCATCCCGTATATTACGAATTTCTATCAAATTTTTTTCGTACATAAAAAAAATATTTTCTATTTTTCATTCAGATATACAGACGGTCAAAAAAATGATGATGGACACAACAACTGGGCTTCCTTCCTGCCCTTCGTGCCACATGCCTTTCGATAAGGGAAAGAGGAGGAGATTGATTGACAATTGTGGCCATGAACTTTGTTATTCTTGTATCTATACGTCAGAACACTGCCCACTCTGCTTAATGGATGGTAAGTAATTGGGCACACCTTTACATCTTATATTAGATGCAAAGGTGTGCCAAATGTAAATTTCCGTTATATAAAACCTTATTAAAACTAAAGTTATTAGGTCTCAACAGTTAAATTAATTTTTCTTTAAGGCATAAACTGTTAATTTGGCTTGATATCTTTCAACAGAGACCTTAGTTATGTTTTATGCATGCATGGAGTTAACCTATATTATTATTATTTTTTATAAAAAATAAATTTAATAAGTTAGCTTCTCAATATAATAAAGTTTTTAGGTAGTTAAGAATGCTTTCCCCTTTATATTTATTTTGTTTTAATTCATAAAAGAAGGAAGTTTAATGGATTGTAAGTCGAATTATTTTAATTTCACTGTTAAAATCATATTGTATTTTATTTTAAAATATTTAGGTCAGGGAAAGAAAATCCATTCATTCATTTATAAAGGTTGAGTTCTTCTAATGAAGATAAATCACTCATTTCACATAGTTTTGGGTGTCGTTCAGCTTTCTGCATAAATTACTTTCCTGGTGCTTCCACATATACACCAAACAACCTTGAGATAATGGAACAAATTTATTGTTTATGTATCTCCTGTAATGATTTAATGAGTAATTGATAATTAAATGAACCGAAAATAGTTTAGTAATTCGCCATTAAACACCGACTCGTTTCGTACTGGATACTGTTTTAATAAAGAAAGAAAGAAAGAAAAAAAAAAGGAAATTAAGTGAAAGTCTTTGAACGTCAGCCTCCCCGTTCGTAAATGAATTTTTGTTTATGGGATTAGGTAGGTGAGGTAGATGATTCGTTTTGTTTACGCTACCGGGGTGAGTTCACTGTCCTCTTGAAGCAAACGAGTTACCTAATGACCCCCCATAGCGCTTTGGCGTCTGTCTAGTATTCAAAGATCTCCCGCAATGAATCTTAATATTATTTACACTCTTGCAAATCATGATGTAGGGTAAGTTTAACTATGGTAAGTTTAAATGTGTATCATTATTTGAGCTAGCCAATATCTATAGCTAGCTCAATAAACGATACACATTTAAAAAAACATAACTTATCAGTGGTAATTTTCATATTAGTATCATTTAATTAATTATTTTTATTTTCCAAAAATATATCGAAATAATTTATTTATTTTTATACATTTTATAAACATTTCTCCTAGAAATTGCTAATCTGTAAAAGGGGAAAAGTTATTCAAGAGTTCTTAAATGATATTTGATTATAAGTTTAAATTTAATAAAAGTATACACTTATACGAGTTAATTTTAATTAATTTATAATTTATAATTTATAAATCATTATAAGAAATTTTATATATGTTAGAAATATGATTCGTGCTTCCCCTTTTTTTAATATTCTTTCCTTATTTGTTTGAATAATAATTTTTTTTTGTAATTAATTATATTGTTTATTTTTCGTTTAAAGATAGGAAACATTTATTTTTCTATGTCAAAACTTTCTAAATCTACGTTTAATTACAGCATTCAATTACAAAAATGTTTACTAATTAGTTTTAGTAAAGTGAGCATAACATTTTTTTAAATGACTATTAATATTAAAACTCTTTTACTTTGCTTTTCTACATTTCTTTTCCTTAGTTTTATTTAATTACAAAGCAATTATATATATATATGTAAAGTTTAATTAAATATTTTCCATTTGGTTAGCTTTAATTTCCTTACAAAGTATGAGTCAATAATGAAACTTCTTTTCTTAAAATAATTATTAGTTATGAAGTTTAATTCAAATTAAGTACAAATAAATAACTCAAATAAATATTTTTATATAAATGATTTTTTTCGGCTGTTAATTAGGTTTTATTGTTTAGAATTTCAAGTATCGTAAGTATTATCGATAGCATCAAGTACTTGCAATTTATTCATAACTTAGCGATTATTTTAAATACGGCTATTTAGAATATTAAATTGTAGAGATTTTTTGGGATTAGATTAATTGAAAATGCTTTAAAAAAAAGCCAAGACGATATTATCTTAAAGAGTTTCTCTAAACGCAAATATTGATTTCTAACGAATTCTCATTCATATCACGTATTAATGGATTTTCATTTGTATTCAAAATATACGATCCTTATGTTTAACCAAATATTACCGCAACTGTACACCTTAAATAAGAAGCCCATAAAAAAAGGACTTACCTAACGACCCTTACAAAAAAACACCAGATCTTTATCAAAAAGCAAACCCCTAAAGGTATAAAAGTGGAGACGTGAGAAATATGTTCATCACGTCTTTTAGAGGGTTAGAAATTTTATAAGCTAAAGGCAATGATTTCCTATTTAAGTGATTAGTTCGATGCTATTGTCTTTCGAAAACAGTAAAACTTTAACAGCGTGGCCATTTCCGAATATATTTTAATGCTCTACAAGAATGGAGGAATCCTTTCACGCTCTCTCCTATACGGTTTTCAAAGTTTATGTAAGTAGATTAATTGCAGATGGCTTCCATAATTCGAGTCAATTGTCTGAAATAGTTGCATGACCGGAATTTCACTCAAACTAATCATTTCTCTAGACTTAACTAAGAAAAAAAATATATGTATTTTAGTCCTCATAAATAGGTCATAAAGATAAAACTAACAATTAATAATTGTTAATGTAAAGTAACTTAGTCTTAAAATATTTTTCAACAATAAATTATTGAAAAGATGCGATAAATAAATTATGCATTATATGAATAATTTTTATTTTCATTATTTTGAATTACAGGTTTTAAATTCTTCCCTCCCCCTTTATTTTTTTTAATTTCTAATAATAGGCCCTACAGGGTTATTTTCGTTTAACCACATTGTATACTTTCTGGCCTCTTATTCCAGGCCTTGGGCATAGAAATAAAAGAAGTGTTCTTTTCTCCTTTGAGGGTTTATTCTGATCAGAAGCGTTCAATTCCAGCCCCTCTATTCAATAGAGAGGATGCACTTTAGAGAAGCTTTGTATAAAATTTCGTTCTCTGGAGACTAGATTCTATCTGTGAATAAATTATTTGGTCCTATTACGAATATTATAAATAAATATACTGTATATATGTAAATTATATGACATAATACAGTTTTCTCTAAGTTATATTCTTATATATGTGTTGAAAAAGTCTTTAAATTTTGATGTTAACTCTAAGCGTTCAATCTCAATCTCTCTATTCACAGGAAGGATGCACTTCAGAAACGCTTTGTATAAAATTTCGTTCTCTGAACACCAGATTCTATCCATGAATAAGTTATTTGGGCCTATTGCTAGCATTGTGTATGTATGTGTGTACATATATATAGCTACAATGGATCTGAATAATTTATAAATATGAGATTTATTTTTATACATATATAAAATAAATCTAAGATATTTAAAAATATATTATTTATACTATAGTTGTATTTAATAAAGAAATAATAGACGTTTATCTACTTAACGAACCGCTGTCGTAATATTTAAATTATAGTATATTAAAGTTAGAATAAATAATTTGAAACGATATACTTTAGTTATCTCTAATTACAGTTTATTAATCCGTATATTTATATACTGTATAAAAATTTCATGCGTAACTGATGTTATCTAGAAGTGAGATCAACGTGGATTGATATGATAAACCCATTCACATTGATAATTGTCTCACTTGCTTTCTGTCATTGGCATTAACTCTAGAATCTTATACAAGAGCACAAAATCTATCTTAGAATAGTTTTACGTAATATTTAAATTAATATATATATAATTTTTACATACAAAATCTAACTAATGTTAGTATAGAGATTTATTCTAGACAAAAGTTTCTGGAATAAAAGCCTTTTTTTTTTTTACCTGTTTTTACAAGAGATTTCCAGAGAACCTTTATAACAATGAAAATAGACGTTTGAATAGAAGATTTTGCTTAACTTTTGCGAAATGCATTCAAATAAAGTTTAGAAAAATCAATATATTTTGAATAAAATTGATGTTTTAATATTAAAAATGTTATGTAAAAGCGTAGTATGGATTAATTTTAAATACAGTTAAGACACAATTTTAAAATTAATTCATTAAATTTTGAACTAATAAAAAACCAAAGTATAAATTAATTACACAGATTCATTTATTAATAGAATCAATAAGGTTTTGTTTTTGTTTCTTTTTTAAATTGTTGACTTATCTGTAAGAAACTCTTACATGAAGATACGAATTAAAGAAAAATAGTTTAAACGTCTTTCCTTTTTTATTTAATTCTAATGTAGATATTTTAAGAAACTAATGTTTAAACAGAAGCGCCAAAAATTAATTATATAACATATAATTAATTTTTACATCTAGACCTGTTTTAAATCTGTTAATGTCAAACATCACTTAACAAATGGTGAAAATGAACTGGAGCGCAGCGAAGCCAAGTTCCTGCACAATTTTTTTTATTTATTTTTAATTCCAGTTTTTTATAACCCTTAAAAAAAATGATATAAACCAACTACTTTAATATAATTTCAAAGGAATTTTTTTTTTAATGCAAAAATTTTGTTAATGATAAATGTTAAAAGTTTAAATGAGTTACACCATATAATACGTATGTAATACAAAATTATAATATATTAATATGTAAATTTGATGGTAATATTTTGAATTTTAACCATTATAAAATTATTTTATATTACAGAGATATTAAATAAATAAATTTAAAAAATCGCTTGAATAGATTTAAATAATTTATTTTATATTAGAGTAATTAATATATTTAATTTATTCTATATAAATTACGATTTTTAAACGTTAAAATATATTAATTTTATTACTTCTTTTTTGTCTAAAAATTATTTTATGATTTAATATTTAATTTATAAAACGCAAATTATCCAAAAAAAGAGATGTAAATTATATAATTAAATCGTAAAATTTGTCGCTATAATAATGGAATTCCCCGGAAAATCGTATAGTAATAATAATAATAATTAAAGTTTATAGTAATTTATATATTAGGAAATTGTTCCGGATATAAATCTCTACTGCTGATCGCGCCATTTTCTTTGCAGCGGGAAATCTAGAAACTGTTAATGGGTCATGCGGTTTAAATGTCGTAGGTGACTCACTTAAATAATTTTAACGCTAATTGCTTAACATGCAACTTGGTTTCACCGGCTTGATGTGTAATGACTATTAAGCTTTGTAGATTGTTATCCGTTTCAGGAGAATAATAAACACGTTTCCTCAGTTTCTAAATGATGCAAATTTGAAAGCTAAGGGAGAAAATCTTCGAATTTCTATTGTTATAATTATAATAATCACCATTTATTATTATTATTATTATTTTTTTATAAGCAAAATTTTAAAACTTGTTGATGTTTTCTCGTTAAATAAAATAAAATTTATTTTTTTTGCAGGGTATAAAACATTAAATAAATCTTTAACCTTCATCCCTTCGGTGTTATTTTTTTTCTCCCACCAAAAAAAAACTTTTTTTATTTTTTTTTTAAATTAAATGGATTTTAAAATGGCTTAGATTTAAATTGCAATCTCACAAAATTCCATATAGCAAACACCAGGTGGTGTAAAAATTGAAGCAGCTGCTCTAACCGAAACTTTATTTCCGACACGAGATCCCTAGACAATTTCTAATATATGTAATGCGATACCGATACCTCCAAGTTGGATGTTTGACAACTAATATAATCCAGATTGTCCCTTGTATTTTCAGCTCCTGTAAAACTGGTCAGCCCTACAGCGCAAGATGTCCACAACAATCATCTTACGAGTCGACCACGACTGAAAACCAATGGGCATTTTACGCCGTATATGAAAGCCAGGGTGGATCGAACGACGAGCGATTCACTGCAGTGTAAATGTAAGTAAGAAAGAAAAGGAAGACGAAATTCTCGTTTAAAACTTATTAATTTAAACATTAGTCTTTTGTAAGAAGTATATTTTATACTTTAATGGGCGTACCTTTAGCTGTAAATCTTATTACAAAAATTGATATAACGTTTCGTGTAATTTATAAGTTAATATATTTGTTTTTTTACGATTATTTTAACTCCAAATTTGGATTATAGTTCGAACGAGGAAGTCGTAAAGCCGTAAAATATTCTAATTAAAATACCACCCTTATGTGTCTGAAGCCAAAAAAGGTGATCCTTACTCTTAGTAATCTCCTTTTTAAAATTTTGATTATAGGAGATTTGCTTGAAGAGCCGTAGAAACATCATTAATAAGGACGTAATTATAAGTTTCGTATTCTTTAATACTGATCAAATAATTGTACACTTTTAAATATTTTACAGATAGTTAAAAGCCTAGGGCACAATATACATACGATGTGTCGGGCCTGAAATAAGATTCTTGATTTATTATACTATAAACATAATAAATCATAGTGATACTTAATTTAATAATGATAATAAGCGTATATGATTCTCGGCTCTTTTGGCCGATTATTAATTTATTATAATAATAATTAATTAAATCTATACGAGTTTTGAATTCGGACTATTAAATATTATTAAATTTCCTACAAATTTTTTTAAACGTCTGTTTCGTAAATTATAATTATTGGGCGTAATTTGCATTTTATTTATGCTTAGATTATGATAAATAGATAAGAGGAAGACGAGTAAATCTTTTTAACTTTAATAACTACTTAGTTGCAAGGGAGTGAAGAGAGAGAGAGAGAGAGAGAGATTTGACTAGTTGCTACTTCATGGCTTGAATTTTACAGCTCGATTGTGTCTGACAAAGTTTGGAGTGAACATCCGGTTCTTTTGCTTCCTCCAGATGTTGGGTTTGACTGTGAGACGGCGGGAGAAATGCGGTCTAAGAGAAAAAAAAAATGCCTGAAAAACTTTATTCTTTTTAGCCATAAACTAAGTAACTTACTTCTAGTATTGATATATCCTTTATGTCAACCATTAAAAGTTGTTATGGGGCAAGTTTGGATAGCGAAACATTAAAACAAATAGCCTTCAGAATGATATCGATTTTATTGGTTTACAATAAATCTTACGGTTCTTTTAATAATGTATTTAAATTGAAATATTTATGCAAATTCTTATCCATGTAAAGCAAATATTAAAAGGAAAAAAAAATAATTCGAATATTTTAATTTTGNTTATATATATATATATATATAATCATTAATGCAAAAAACATTACTGAATTATTATGAATGGAAGATAATTATTAGATAATAATTATCAAGTAATAATAACTGTCCTGCCGCTAATATACTACTAATATATCATTTATTTAACGAATTTTAAAAATAAATAAATTATATTTTAATATAATCATAATTAAATAATCTAAAATGTAATAATTGGAAGAGTAAAATATAACATATATTTTATTATCTTCAGCAATGTATACATACAGTATCTAATTAAATCAATACCATTTTAGGGGTTTGACTCATGGCCATCTGCAAGGGGGACACGTGTCGGGGGGTTTTCCATAGTGGAGCCACCACTGAGGAGTTAAAATTTGTCAGGGCGCCCGTGTTAAGTTCATAGTGGAACCGCCACTATATGATCAAAATTCAGTGAGGGCCGCCCATAATTTTAATGGGTGGACCTCACTTTTATTAAAAATCATTATTTGTTTATATATAAAATAAAAAAAAATTTCTAAATTACTTATACATATTTATGAATTATGTTAGAATGTTTTTATATTTATTATAATTAAATATTGAAAATAAATTTAAATTTTTAAAAATCTCTGATACATATCTAAGTCTCTTTTCTTTAAAAGATAGCCATAAAATTTGAATAAATTATTAAATATTTTAATTAAAGTTTTATTGACATATATAAACCATAGATAATTTTTTAAAAATAAATATTACATATAAATTTTATATTAATTCAAAATTTATTTCCACGCTTATTACGTATCTCAGAATGAATTATTATTAATAAATATATTAAAAATTTATTTTTAATTTTAAACATCTTTCCCCTTTACAGAATTTATTTGTAGATCTTAAGCACAGTATTTGTATCGAATTAAATATGTAACACGTAAGATAATCTTTATTCATGAGGAAAATAATCTAGATTTATTACTACAAATGAAGAATTCTTTACTTAGTTCCTTACATTTTGTCAACTTTTAAACTAACGAACCTTTAATGTCAACAAAAGTTTCCTTAAGGCAGATACTGTCAATACAGACAATCAATCCTTTTCAGGTAGAGACAGGTGTCGTTGTCGTTCAATGCTTCAATTTAATACCACCAGATGTCGTTTTGTTTATAAAAGCATACAATAGCGACTTTATCTGAAAAGATATTTTCATCCCGGAAAATTTAATTTTGAACTAAATATTGTATCACACAATAACTTTCATAATTAATTTCCCTTTCTAAAGTTTCAATTTTTGTATTATTTCATAAAACAATATCATTATAAATATATTAAATTCTTTAATTTAAATGTTTAATATGTAAATTAATTCGATTTGTTCTTATATAATTATCTACAATATGTTTTATTTATTTATTTATTTATTTTTTCCACATAGATGACGATATTCCAGCACGACTTCCTTCAGCCAATGAAGATCCTTCACGCAACGATTTATATATGAGACTTGGTTTATTATTGGGGGATACTGCTCAAACTACGAGAAATAGCACGTCTCCTCGACCGGGTTCGGCCAATCAGAGTAGTCATAGTCAAGAATCATTTGCGTCTGTGTCATCATTGGCTAGCAGCGAAGCCAATACTTCAAATACAAGTCCGTTGTCTACGTTGACAGGTAGAAATCTGAACTATTATATACAATATTTACGCTTATTTATAGTAATATTTTCAAAATTAATTTGATAAATTTACAATTGATTCTACGCGAATAATTTATATTCACATACGAGTAATGAATTAAAGTATAAATCTGGATGGCCAAAAGTCAGTTAACCCGTTGTAATGATTATTCTGCTTATTTACATATTCTTTTGTTTAATACAAAAATTACAACGCTTTGCTATGTTTTCACAATACCTACCAGCAGTCGAACGGATAAAACCACCGAGTACTGGTTGAGTCCACGACTGAATACAATTGAATACTGGATGAGTCCATCATTGAATACCGACTGGTTTCAGGTTTACGCCTCATCAACTGGTTGACTATGTGGTATTAGACGTTGGGTTCACATGTCTAACATCAAAATGGAGGCCATTTTCTCATAGAATCCTCCCAGGAGGCACCCCCTTGGTAAATCGTCCAAGTGCTGCGTTGTATTTATTATTCTATCAATATAATCCAATCCTTTTATAAATTGTTAACGTGGTTACCTGACTTTTGGGCATCTTGTATAATTCGAAAAGTAAGCCATTAAAAATTGAGACTTTCATTTTCCTTCTTATAGTTTCTTCTTTATTTATTTAATTATAAAAATTAATTTCTTAGAAAGTAATTGGAATTAGAAAGTAATTGGAATCATATATCTGAAGCAAAACATAATATTTAATTGTTTTGTTTAAAACTGAAATAAATGAATTTTATAAAAATTTTGTTTTAACTAAAATATTTTTAAAATTGATTTTTAAAATTTCATTTAATTTATTTGCTTGATTTCAAATTTTCCATTTAAATATTCAATTAAATGTGTTCTATTTGGCAATTTGTTCATTATAATATTAAAATATGTAGTTTGTAATTTAATATATTTATATTAAATCATATAAATATTATAATGTAATTTGTCAAATTTTTATATAAATAATTAATGATAGTTAATTTTAAATTTATTAAATTAGTGTTTTTTTTAAAAATATATTATGATTAATTTTTTATTAAAACAATATAAATTANTAATGAAAATAACTTTACTAATTAATTATATATTATATAAATTACATGTTATTAATCTCATTATAAATAATTTAATATATCAATTAATTAAAAGTTATTGAGAAATTCATTTTAATCGATATTATCTACTAGATATATAATTAGATAATTAAAGAATTTAAATTAATTAATATCAGACATAACATATTTTCTAAATTCTATGTATTGCTTTAGTTAGATCCTGTATTAATTCTCTATTTTTATAGAAAGTTGCTGATTTAAATGTATAAGTTTTCTGAATGCATTAATGATTTTACAGTATCTCTCTTTATATTTAACTTATTAAGATTTTTCGGCTTTAAATCAAGAATTTAATTCAATATTTTAATTATAAAAAAGGCGACTAAAATTTTAATTTATCTCCCATCTACTTACAAAAAAAACAAGGTATTCGAAAAGTCTCAATACATAGGATAATTTAACACTTAGTTTTATAAATAGTCACATTTTTCCAACGTTCCTTTAGGTGATTCATGTTATGAATCTTTCTTGATATACCGAATTCTTCAAGTACTTTCACAGATAAAAAATTGAGTGTGTTAAGACCTGGAACCGCACCATGGGACCACTAATCCTTGAACCTTGAAAATGATGATTCAATTTTCTTACGTATTGCGACATTTGGGACATCCTGTACATTGATATTTAATTGATTTTTCATAGTTTTATTTTGTAGAGCAATGAAGTTTCAAATGGACATCTATATTCTAAATTATATATTTGCTTTATATTATATGAGAGGTGCTTATACAGTTTGGTTATAAGTTTTATGTTGTAAACTGTACTACCAGCTTACACTATAAAATAAATAGGCCCTATACAAAATAACCTTTTTTAGTATCTAACGTATTAAAATTTAAACTGCGTACGAAGTAAAGAATATCATCATTCACAGAGAAATCTACATAAGAGCAATATAAGAAATTTTGGCACCATTTTAAATAGTTTCTGAATTTTTTTTAACTTCTAACAAATATTGTTACGTTATGGCAGAGATACTTATTTTTAAATGTCATCCTTTACAACTAAGCTTAAGAGCATACTTTCTCTTGATCGTTTACAACAGCATAAATTCTGTTGCAACTCTCAAATTACAACTATTTATATATGAGACTTGGTTTATTATTGGGGGANTTAACAGAAAACGATATTTTATGCTCACGTGTTCTGATTTATCGATTTACTATTAAATTAATTTTAGAATTTTAAAATATTAGAATAAAAATTTTTACGATGCATTCGTGTTACTGATTTTATGATGCTGTTCTCTATAATCGTAGAGTTCTGGTAAATGTTTGTATGATATATTTATTTCTATTCCTATTTACTTCCTTTCGATATTTTTAAATTATAAAAAATTTTTAAAAATAAGAACTTCTTGGTATAGATCGTAGTTTAACCTACGGTCCAAGGATCCCAAGGAGTTAGTTTATGGAGAGATTTCAATGAATAAGTGAACTTAGATGTGGGGGGATAAAAATTCCATCTTTATTTTCAATAGCCACTTATTATTAGGTGCTGATTCACGTGGGCTACAGGGATTTAACCCCCAATGACACAAGAAAATTTAAAAATTTATTTGTTCTATACATTATTTTATTTTTATACATCAAATTTGGCGAAATCTCGAATACAAGATATGCTACACCCCGCTACAACAANCACGTGGGCTACAGGGATTTAACCCCCAATGACACAAGAAAATTTAAAAATTTATTTGTTCTATACATTATTTTATTTTTATACATCAAATTTGGCGAAATCTCGAATACAAGATATGCTACACCCCGCTACAACAATAACAATAAGAAAACATATAAAAACGCGGAACAATTATTTAAATATTTTTTAATTTATGAATAAAAAAACTCCGTTTGGATTCTGGCTTACCACTGCTTACTATTGTTAACTACAGTAGACCACTCTATAACACTGTTGATAATTCCGTGTTATATGAATTCCATGTTGTACGAGTCACCCAGATTTTATAAATACGTGTGCCGGGCTGCTCACGTATTTGAAAAATCCAAGTGACTCGTACAACATGGAATTCATATAACACGGAATTATCAACAGTGTTTTTGGGGGGTCTACTGTAATCTCTTTATTATTATTATTATTATGCACACAAATTATTATATGACAAATTTATTTTTATATTTTGATATCATTCAATAAAATAAATTTTTCTTTGTAAGTCAATGCATTTTATTTTCTACATTTATAAATATTATTCTAAGAAGGGATCCATAGTATTCACCAGACTGCCAAAGGAATCATGACACAAAAAGTTAAGAAACCCTGAACTAGATAAGACTTACAAAGATTTTAAATATTTTTTTTCCTGTTTTTATTTGTTGCTACTTCGAAATTTCGACATAAAACGATAAGATAAAAAAAAAACCTGTCAACCATTTTAAATTATTTAAATTTTATTCAACAACATCTAATAATATCAATTAATAATAATTTAATAGAGTTTTTACCAAAATTTATCTCTTAGAAAAGAGAGAAAATATATATATATTCGACTTACTAAAAATAAAACGTTAACTAGAACTTAACAAAAGGTTATTTTTGTTTTATTTGATCCATGCTGTAGTTTAGTATTGTTCTATTTTGACATGGAATATAATTTTGTAAAGAAACAGAAATGTGAAATTGTTCAAATTATCAAGAAAATAAGGAAAAAAAAAAAAGGAAGTTATCTCCCCCGTCAATTGTGATGTCAAATGGTAGAACGGATGAGCACTTACTAAATTTGACTTCAGTAAGCCTTGGGCTAGACTTTTCCGTATCAAATCTCATCTTGAATAAAGTACAATATTGTTTTCTTGAAAAAGTGACATAAATGTATTTTTTATAGACAGATATTGCTTCAGGCCTTGCTGTTTCTACTTATAGGATTGCAAAATGCTTAAGAAGAATAAATTGCATATCCTAATCTTCTCAGATAAGAATTGTGATAAATTCTAGAAAAAAAAGTATATTTATTATGCTATATTTAGAGTATTTAGTAAAGATTCTAGTGTTTTTTTTTTAATACCTTAATTCCATATAAGATTATTTAAGTAGGAAAAAAAAATATATTGAAATTTTAATTTTTCTGAGTCGTAAAATTATAAATAAATTTACTTACTTAAATATTAAATATTTTTACTTATAAAATGTATATTTATATTCAATATAAATAATTAAAAAAAACATTGCATTACATAAATTTCTTGGTTTCTTTTTAATGTGATTAAAAGCTTTCGAGGAAAAAAAATAAATTGAATTTTTAATAAATTATAAAACATTTTTGAAATATTTTCTTTTAATTTTTTTGATTAAAACTTAATAAAATAAATTAGTAAGAAGTTTATTAAAAATTTCTTAAATAAATTATTCGAGAGGAGAGGGGGGGGAGAAAAATTGTTTTAGTTGGAGAAGTTATCAAACTTTATTTTATTTTAT